CCTTTTTCTTAAAAAACAAAGAAATTAAGTGTCTACATGGTCTCTCTCATTCAATGCACTATAATACACTGTTATTTATTTTGATGTTCAAATTGTTCTATAATTGGTCAGGGAAGCCCCTCCAAGCTGGCACCTATGTACTTTTGCTTTATGCACAGGCTTTTCTTTATTTTTCAATATTTATTTAATTGACAAATAAAAATTATATATTTATGGTGTTTTATATGTATATGTACACACATACATATCTATATAAAGTTCTGTGTGCTTCACAGAGGGGCTGTGGAATGGCAAGCTACACACACACACATAATCATTGTGGAATGGATAAATCAAGCTAATTAATTACCTCACATTTTTTGTTGTAATTGAAAACATTTAAAATTTACTCAGTGATTTTTAAGCATACAATACACTGCTAATAACCATAGTCATTATTTTGTACAATAGAACTCTTGAACTTGTTCTTCCTGCCCATCAGTTTCTGAGCACCTTTTTTTTTTCTTTTTATTTACTTTGTACACCAAGATGGTACAGGCTTTTGTACTTCCTCTACCCACCCTTGGAATCAGCCATTTCTCCAAATTTATTTCAGTCGTAAATAGTATTTAAAGCTAGGATCTGTGCCATAGGTGAACTTATTACTTATGAGGTGTCATTACTGATAAATTTTTGTAGAGCTAGCAAATTTATACAAAAAGTATGTGCCAATTATATGAAATAATCAATACTTCTAATCTAGTCCCACAATACCTCATCCCAGTTCCCCCATTACAATTCCTTTCCCATCTCCCGCATTGAGTACTCTGGTTCCCATGTGTTATCGATTATATTTTTACTCATTAGCTGAATCTTATATGCAAATAATCTTTGAAAGTGCCCCTTAAAGAAAACTATATACACACATCTGCATAGGCAAATGTACTCCTACCTCTTGTTCCCCCTCCGCTGCTCTGAGCCTTTAGGCTTTGCTCACATTTTAGTCGGTGCGTATTTGTTGGCTATAGAGGAAGCCAGAGAGCAAAGGAGTAACTTGCATTCCCAGGAAGCTTCCCAGGCCTGGTCTTGCAACCGGGCGGGCGAGAGCCTCACCACAGACCTAAGTCGGTATCCAAGGGATCATAAGGCTGTAACAGGCAGTCCAAGTCGTTCTCTTCTGGGACGCACGTCCCTCTAGCCGGCCAAGAGCAGATGGTTAGTGGATTAGGGTATTCTCCACCATCGTGGGCCCTGGGCCTGAAATATGCACAGAGAGCCCCTGAGAAGGTGTCTGTGAAGGTGAAGATATGGGAGCCATCGGACACGTTAAAGAAGGACAGCTTTCCCGCCTCACAGTCCAGGAAGATGCCCACGCGCCGCGGAGGGACGCGCAGAGTGAGCGCTACACGGTGTGGGTCCAGGACGAAGTACTCGCAGCTGTTCCACAGCCCCATCACCCAGTAGCCACCAGCCGGGCTCAGGCGCGCGGGTCCTGAGCGTTGCACAGTTGCCAGACAGGCGCCCAGGAACCAGCGGCTCCTTCGGCCCACGTGCACTTCCCAGTAGTGGCGGCCTGTGGAGAAGCGCTCCCGGCTCAGGACGCACGTTTGCTCAGTGAATCTTTGCGGACAACCATCTGCAAGGATCGGTACCACTGGGCGAGAAGAAACGCTTTTGGCATCCTTAGAAACCTCCAGGCTGGGGTGCGCTGTGGTTGCATCCAAGGTCACGTCCACTGCTCAAAAGCACAGGGTTAGTGCCCGCTGAGGATGGTTCTTGGACCCTTCTGTTCCCTCCCCCATAGGCAAATCTAGTTTCTCCTGGTAGAACAATAAGTGGAATCATCATCCTATCCCATGCTGGCAAACAGCCCCCCCCCCCAACTCTTTGCCTGGCTCCCAAAGTGGCATTGCAAATTAGTCCTGAGTATTGCAGCCTTCCTTCCTTCCTTCCTTCCTTCCTTCCTTCCTTCCTTCCTTCCTTCCT